AAATCACTATAGTCTTTGTAGGGCCGAAAGACTAACGCTCGCGAATAGGATTTTACAATTAACTATTTTCCGTGAGAAAGAGAGAGAAAGAGAAGATTCGAATATAACCGCGAACTAACGTTCGGCGCGAATACAAAAAATAGCCATATCACGAATATACAAAGTATCGAAAGTATTTTGTATCGCTTAATATGACGGGAGGTGCACCTACCATGCGGTGCAATTACGGTGATCAGCCGTAATTGTTGTTGCAAAAATTTCAACTGCCGCTGCCCCTCTATTATCAGCTGCGCTGTCTCAATTCGCTTTTATCTGCTGCTTCTGCACCTCTGCTTGCTGCTGCAATACTGTCGTTGAACACACGCACGTAATTAACCAAAGAAAACTTTATTCGGCGAAAACAAAGTGCGAAAACAAATCGGCGGTAACTCGCGTTCACAGCTGAGGCGTAACTGTCTATTCAAAAGATTGCGCGCCCCCTCTCTCTCTTAACTGTTAGAACTAACACGTGAGAAGCAGAATCGCGAACGGTTTGATTAATTAAATCGACTACCGTTGCAAAATGCATTCTAGAAGAAAATCATTGTGGGTATTATATGAATTTAATTTTGTTAATTTTGGTTAAATTTCTTAAGACCCACCGTGATAAACTTGTAATTATATAAGTTATTATATTATTCGACTGCAAATATATCTTTTTAGTTTACATACAGATAATAATCTATTTTTAAGACATCGTTGGAAAGATTTGAGGATTCGTAGAATAATTTAACGAAATGTGTCAAAACATACTTGACCGACTTTTGTTTGATTTTGTTATGTGAACAATGATCAAGGTTGAAATGTAGTGCTGATTTTAATTAAAAAGGTTAAGATATCACTCCGGACCCATCATGTGCCGTATGGTCGCCGGAGTCAAATTTGAATTACTGAATATTTAAACCATTATTTTTATTATTGTCCTATGTTAAAGCAATTGTTTGTTAAGAATTCATTTGAAATTGTTTTTTAAATGTTATTTAGTTACGTTTGTATATATAATTTTTCTATCTCTAGTTACTCATTCTTCTTTCAATCCAATGCATCCATTCATTTGCTTTAACCAGAAAATTATTAATTATGTTAAATGATGTATCAATCCTATGTTTCAAAATATATTATTGTAGATTTAAAAATCACAATTTTCAGTAATATCCAGGATATCAATGCTTCGTTTTCTAACCACTCTTTGGGATTCAACTGTAAAAGATAAAATGAAAAAAATTGAATTTGCTGCTTTGAATTTAACTCTGTTTTGCATTATTAATATGAATGAACTCACAGTTTTTTGAGTTACAAATATAAAAATATTGTTTCTTTCAGTACATAATCGTCTTGACGAGGCTTGCACACTTCAATCTTAGGGATTACATTAGATCCTATGTCATGTAAACCAAATATTCTTTTTATTCGTAGTATCTCTTCTGAAGGAAGTGAAAAATGTTTATATTTAGTCTACCGAATTTTGTAAATATTGTTCCCATGGCAGCTTTGGCTGCTAGTCTTATACTGCTCTAAAACTAAACACAGGAAAAGTATACAACAGATTTTTGTTGAAATCGTAAACAACAGCCACAAAAACAATGGTATACAAATTTTACTTATGTGATGTTCGTATCACTTATAAATAATAATAATTCGAACTCTCGTATCTAGCTAATGAGTAAGAATTTGTTTCTAATAATTTTACTCTATTTGTCAATAAAATAAATAGATAAATCAAATGTATTCTAACAATAATAAATAAATCAAATATATTATCAAATATAAATAAGTACAATGTTTCAAGGAAAGTCAGACAATGCCCTAGTTTCTTATGGTGCGAATTGTCCCATAAGCAGAGCTAAAGTCTTTCTTGGATAGGATATAATTCGGCCTAAGTTTCTTATAGCGCGAGGTGTTCTATAAGTCGAGCTCGAATTATAAGGAAGGAACAATCTTGCTCAGTTAATCATAATGAGAGAAAGAACTTAGGTATTAGCCAAGTTTATTCAGACTCATGCGCTCACCTTGCAAGGCTAGAAGTGAAAAGCTAGCCTGTGCAAAGGTGGGCCTATTTATATACAGATTTTCCCGCTTATTTTTGCAGGAGAGATGTCATCGAACATTCGAGAGACATTCGCGAATTTTGAGAAATGAGTTTTCTTAATTTACAAGTAAATAACCATTAATATTAAGCTTTTAACACATATAAACTTTACAAAATTTGTTATTTGTTGATTTTATACAATATATAATTATCGGAAATAGTGTCGTCAAAAGTTATTAACTAATAAAGTTAATTAACGTGATATTACAATATTTACAATAGAAAATTATCAAATTTTTATATAACTTTATAGTTGATTAATTTTGGAAGTATTTTCTAAAAATAAATATTTAAATCAGTTAATAACATTTGAATTATAACTCATTTTTCATATTTGTAACGGCTTTTCCTAATCTTATAATTCAATTATTAGATTAATTATCTAAGATTCCTAAATCATAAAGCTATCATTATTAAGTATAAAATTAATACTATCGTTTTATAAACAGCTTATTGTTCAAATAAATTAATAATTGTTTATTTACTAATAACAGTTATTATTTAGCTGTTATTAATGAAACCAATTCTTACTCATATACTATACTTATTCATTTTGCATGTGGATTATTTACATTTTTCTAATATTTCATATTGTTAGCGTAATAAATAACTCAACTTTGCATATTGAAATTCATTATTATTTCATAATTAAATGCAATTTGTGTTATTATATTCTGAATCTACGTACTAAAATCTATATAATAAATACTTTGTTATATTAAAATTATCTCTAACTAACAAATTTTTCTTAATAACAAAAATCACTATATCTACGAGGTGTGTTCAAAAAGTAAGGTGACTTTTCAAATTTCACGGGCAACGTACTTTCGATTATCGATTTTTTGGTTTTGTTATGGTGGTACACTCTTCCCGAACATCTGTACCAAGTTTCAAGTGTATAGCATTTTTTGTTTAGTTGTGAAAGGCGTAAAGGTTATAAGTGTTTTGCGTGCTCGGCGATTTCTTGCTATCGAAAAATATGGATCAAAGGATTTAAATCAAATTTTGTGTAAAAAATAAAATAACGGTGGCATACGGTGAAACTGTTCTGAGTAAAAAAATGTTTACAAGTGGTACAAACTCTTCCAAGATAGCCGGGAAGATGCCAATGACGAGCCTCGCTTTGGACGCCCAAGCACGTCAACAACTAATAAAAACGTTCATGCAGTGAAGAAAATTGTTCTGGAAAATTGTCGAATCACTATCAGATAAGTTGCTGAGGATGTTGCTATATCGCTTGGCTCGTGCCATGAAATTTTTTCTAACGTTTTGGGCATGAGGCGTGTGTCAGCGAAGTTTGTTCCGAAAATGTTAAATTTTGACTAAAAGAACCGTCGCATGAGCATCGCTCAAGAACTGTTGAATGTCATCAACGACGACCCAGATTTACTCAAAAGGGTCATAACTGGTGACGAAATATGGGTATATGTTTATGATATCGAAACCAAAGTCCAATCGTCCCAATGAAAGAGCCCAGATGAGCCAAGACCGAAAAAAGCACGCCACGTTCGATCAAATGTCAAAGTTTTGCTCACTGTTTTCTTCGATTACCATGGCGAGGTGCATCAGGAGTTCTTACCATATGGACGTACGGTCAATAAACAGTATTATCTTGAAGTTATGCGCCGTTTGCGAGAAGCAATACGAAGAAAACGCCCGGAATTGTGGAAAAACAATTCATGGCTTTTGCATCACGATAATGGCCCCGCTCACTCATCTTTGCTTGTGAGAGATTTTTTGGCCAAAAACAACACCACAATCATGCCTCAGCCACCATATTCACCGGATTTGGCCCCATGTGACTTTTTCTTGTTCCCAAAACTAAAGAGACCTATGAAAGGACGGAGATTTGCAACGATTGAAGAGATAAAGACTGCATCGCTGGAAGAGCTCAAGGCTATACCGAAAAGTGCTTATGAGAAGTGCTTTGAGGATTGAAAAAACCGTTGTCATAAGTGTATTGTATCTGAGGGGGATTACTTTGAAGGGGACAACATAAATATTGATAAATAAATAAATATTTTTTCTTAAAAATACAAAGTCACCTTACTTTTTGAACACACCTCGTATATCTATTACTTTGTGACGTCACGTTATTTATTTTGATTTGACTCTTATATGAATGCACAATCGAGTAAACAGTGAGGTAGCGCCGCTTAATGTATTAATTTGAATAAACAGATAGATGCGTTAGACTGGTTGCAGTGATTCAGTGATATAATAAACTAGCTCATGGATAGGACCGTTACACTTACTATTTACTACTTGGCTTCAGTTTTGACTGTTGAGCTAACTGTGTTATTGGCCATTCTGCTATCATGCTATGAGATTTCATATGTAATATCACTTCTTTTTGTATGCATGACGGTGGTATAGTATTAGAAACAATAGTAACTCTGAAAAAAGTAGGAAAAATTATCAGAAGAAATTAATTCATTCATGGTTGTGAAATAAATGTTTTCATCTGCTAACCTCTGAGCCATATTTCCGAATACAGTTGTTGTTAGGATATTATTAGAAAATAAATAATTTAAATTTTGTTGAAATCATCAAACTAACTGTTTGAAAATATATAACATTATATTGGAAAATCACGTAGGCACTTTGCCAACTAACACATGTGCATACACAAAATTGTAATTCCTTTTTTTATATTCAAAAATAAGAATGTAATTTGTTGAGAGCCTTGTTTGTTGCAAGAGCTCATAAGATAACACATTTACATGTACTTGATTATTCTTGTTCTAGTTTATTAATCCATTGATATTCTATACAGAACTAATTTTGTTTTTTTATTACCTGTTGGAATATAAATTAATTAATATTTCTCTTTTTGTTATTCCTTGTTAATAATTTTAAATTATATTTACAGATAAAATATTTCCTCTTCTTTTCTACACTGTTCCTGATCATTAACCGTTGTATCTCTCATAATTGTGCAAAGAGTTGCGGAGAATAATTTTTGCAGCTTGCTGTAGTCAATAAGGCAACATACGTACACGACTTCTACTTATACATATGTACATATTTGAGAGATCATCGAACCGTTTTTCTACAATACATTAGATACTACAATAGCCCCCAGTATATAAAGCATCTGGTATTTCACCTTCAGCATTACGAATAGGGGTAAGCAGCACTGTAGACGAAGTATATCCATTATCTCCTAATAGATAATAATTTCTTTTATTAACAATATCATAATTAAGTCACAAACTTGTTATACGAGGGGTGTTTAAAATGTAAGGTGACTTTTCAATTTTCGCGGGTTACGTACATTCAAGTTTTGAATTTTTGTTGTTGTTGTGTTAGTACACTCGCCACGATCATATACATAGTTTTGAATTTTTAGCACGTGTTGTTTTTCTGGCAGAGGCGTTAGAGATTAGAAGTGTTTGGTGTGCTCGGCGATTTTCTTCTATCCAAAAGAATGGAGCAAAGAGTTTGCATTAAATTTTGCGTGAAAAATGGAATCCAATGCTCTAAAGCTCTTGAAATGTTGACAATTATATACGGTGTGTCTACTCTGAATAACAAAAATATGTATATGTGTTATATCCTGTTCCAAGAAGGCCGAAAGAATGTCGAAGATGAACCTCGCCATGGACGTCCCAGTACATCAACAACAGATGAAAACGTTGAAGCAGTGAAAGAAATTGTGTTAAAAAATCGTCGAATTAGCATCAGAGAAGTTGTAGAAGTTGTTGGTATATCGGTTGGCTCATGCCATGATATTCTTTCGGATGTTTTGGGCATGAGACGTGTGTCAGCGAAATTCGTTCCAAAATTGCTTAATTTTGATCAAAAGAACCGTCGCAAGACCAACGCTCAGGAGATGTTGAATGAAGACAATGAAGATCTTTATTTTCTCCAAAGTGTTATACTGGTGATAAATCATGGATATATGGTTATGATGTCGAAACTAAAGTCCAATCGTCCCAGAAGAGCCAACACCCAAAAAAAGCATGCCAAGTTCGATCAAATGTCAAGGTTTTATTCACTGTCTTCTTTGATTACTGTGGCGTAGTTTATCAGGAATTCTTACCACAAGAGCTGTGAGAGATTTTTTGGCCAAAACCAACATCACAGTCATGCCTCAACCTACATATTCACCGAATTTTGCTCCTAGTGACTTTTTTCTTTTCCTAAAACTTAAGAAACCCATGAAAGGACATTGATTTTCATCGATTGAGGGATAAAAACTGCATAATTGAAAGAACGCAAAGTTATACCTCAAAATGATTATCAAAAGTGCTTCTATAATTCAAAAAAAGGGCTGGCACAGTGTATTATATCTCTAACGGGGATTACTTTGAAGGGGACAACATAAATGTTGATAAATAAATAAATATCTTTTGAGAAAACAATAAAGTCACCTCACTTTTGGGCACTCCTCGTCGAATGTCTAGCCTCTGAATACTTCCAAAGGTGTTCTTATTTGAAAGTTGGCGAATTCTATGATCACAGATGATGGAGTTTTCTTCGCATACTACTTGAATATTGAAAGAGTGATGATCTTTATAATTAAAAAAAAGTTTCTTCGTTTTGTGAAAGTCGAACTAATTTGACTACAAAAGAATCAATGAGACCTAAAATATGACTAATGGGATTGAGATGCAAAAACTTGTAAATATAAATATTGGAAAAGTGTGAATAAAAATAATAAATAAAAACCAATGTTTGATGCTAAGCTTACAACTTTTAATTTACCTTTTCCCTTTTTTGTCTTGTGGAAAGAAACCTGATTCAATCATTATATATAATATAAAGTGCTTCAATAACTTTATTAGAAGAACTACGAGGTGTGTTCAAAAAGTAACGAGAATTTTTAAATTTCGCGGGTTTGGAGAATCCGCTTGTATAAAATTTTTTTTTATTATGTTGGTACACATGCCCCTGAAGTACGATAAAATTTTCAGCAATATTCATTGCTTACTTTTTAAGTGGCAGTCGCTAACGTTAGACGTGTTTTTCGAGCTCGGCGATTTTCGTTTGTGAAAAAAAATGGATCAAAGAATTTGTATTAAATTTTGCGTAAAAAATGAAATAAAGTGTAGTAAAGTTTGTCAAATGTTAACAAAGGCATATAGTGAGTCTGCTATGAGTAAAGCAAGGATTTATGAGTGGTATAAGCGTTTCCAAGATGGCCACGAAAACGTTGAAGATGACGAACGACCCGGACGCCCAAGCACATCAACAACCGATGAAAACGTGAAAAAAGTGAAAGAAATGGTTATGAACGGTCGCCGAATCACAATCAGAGAAGTCGCTGATGATGTTGGCATATCAGTTGGCTCATGCCATCAAATTTTTTCGAATGTTTTGGGTATGAAACGTGTGGCAGCAAAATTCGTTCCAAAATTGTTGAATTTCGAACAAAAACAGCGGCGAATGGAAGTTGCTCAGGAGTCGCTAAATGAAATCAATAACGATGCAGAACTACTAAAACGTGTTATAACAGGTGACGAAACATGGGTTTACGGATATGATGTCGAAACTAAGGCTCAATCGTCCCAGTGGAGGCATTCTGGATCGCCAAGACCGAAAAAGGCTCGACAAGTACGGTCGAATGTGAAGGTTATGCTCACTGTGTTCTTCGATTTTAATGGCATAGTGCATTATGAATTCTTGCCACAAGGTCAAACAATCAATAAGCAGTACTACCTACAAGTTCAACGTCGTTTGCGTGAAGCAATCCGAAAAAAACGCCCGGATTTGTGGCAAAACAATTCATGGCTTTTGCACCACGATAATGCGCCTGCTCACACTTCTTGCTTGTTCGTGAATTTTTGGCCAAAAACGAAACTGTAACGATGCCTCAACCTCCATATTCGCCAGATATGGCTCCATGTGACTTTTTTCTATTTCCAAAAATAAAGAGAACATTAAAAGGCCGTCGTTTTACAAGCATAGATGACATTAAAAGCGAATCGTTGAAAGAGCTAAAAGCTATTACAAAGATCGAGTTTCAAAAGTGTTTCGAGGATTGGAAAAAGCGTTGGCATAAGTGTATTGTATCCGAAGGGGACTACTTTGAAGGCGACAACATTAATGTAGATGAATAAATAAATATTTTTTTCATAAAACGAAAATTCTCGTTATTTTTTGAACACACCTCGTAAATGTAGGTAGGCTCGACAGATATAAAAAATCTTGCTATACTCCTTTTTAAAAAAGCCTTGTAACAAAGAATCTAATGGCATCATGCACTGGTAATATTAGGTGTGTATCAGATGGTCGTCGACCTAAAATATGTGGCTCCAAAAGTATAACGAGATACCAGGCCATATCTGGATAGAGTCTATAAAGCTGTAAATATTTTATGTAGTTTTGCATAATTCGAATTCTCTTAACCTTTACTGTTACAGTATTCCTGTATCAACACTTTTTTTCTTACCTGTAATATTTTATAAAATATTCTGGAGATTATAAGAATGGATTACCATATTAACGTAAGACTTTTCTGTATAATTTCAACTCATAAAAATGATGATTCCTTTTAATTCGTGCTTCTTTGTTTTCTACAGGACTGAAAAAACGGAATAGCAACAAATCTATGCATAACCTGAATCTGAAAATAATAATTATGATATATCATTGATAAACTTCACGTAGTATAAATTTTTCCATTATGAATTAATTAGTAATCATGAATGAATTATTCAATTCTATTTGATTATGTGAGAAGCAAGAAAAAACTTAAATAGTTAAAGATTGTTTAAAAGAATCACTATATTATATGAATGATTTTAAAGAAACCTGATGCTTTATTCATTTACGTACCTTTTAAAAGTTAGACAAATAATGTTTTCTTATTTTTCTTGCACATACTTGCTTTTTTATAGTAACTATGAATTTGTTGATTCAATGGGTTATCTAACCCCTGGCGCGGCGCTGCCTGCCCATATATGCGTACCTGTTGCGCGCGCGCACAAGGAATGAAATCATTTTACCTGAAAGATAGACAAACACTGTTAAAGTTGAAATACGTGGCAGCACGACTTTTCTTTTATAAAAATATTGTTTTTATTGAAAAACGAACTGCATTAAAACATAATATCAAACTAAAATTGTCAATTATAAGTAATAATTTTTTCTTTAATTTATAAAATCCTGGCATTGTAAGTTAAACAATAATTATTTTTCAGATCTCTTACCACCTTGAATGCAAGTTAAACCAAATTTATGATAAGCATATCTGTAACGGAGTGATCAAGCGATCATTCCCTCCGCCAAGCTAAAACGGATAAAAACGCGCGTTGTTAAATTCTCAGGATGAGCAGTGATTAGCCGAAATAACGAAATTCGAATATACGATAAACAAATTTAATCAACAACAATAAACTTAATAGAGCAACATAGCAATCAAAGAAAACAAATAACGAAACATAACAATAAAAATATCGCCAGTTCGTTTCCGCTTGACAAGTACTCCGTGCTCGCGAAGAAGCACGAATCGGTGGCAGGACTACCACTTGATCCGCCTTACCTCCTCTTTCCGCGCTCCGTAATACAATTTGAATTCATGCCCGTAACAAAGAAAAACAATTACGGTTGGCGAGGTAGCTGGCAGATCTGCCATTCTACCTGCGTAGCAATGGCGCCCTGAACATGCGAGAGAGAGTGAGAGAGAAAGAGAGAGAGATAATCACAGTACCGACCTCGTTCACCTGCTTCACTCTTCTCCGTCATTGCTTCCCAAACCGTTGTTGTCGTTGATGCTACTATGGCTGTTTGCTGTTGTGTTGATGTGTATGGGTATGTCGTCGTTATTGCCGGTGTTCGTGTATTTGTTGATGTTATTGTTACTGTCTCTATTGTTGTTGCTATTGCTGTTGTCTTGTCCTCCCTTTCAGTAACTTTTTTCGTCAACCTCTCGGCTAGCACCACCAAAATGTCCGCTCGGTAACGCACGCCCGCGTCACCTGGCCGGAAACCTCACGCGCACTGGTGTGAGTTTTTCTAAAGTACATGGGTGCAGCCCAGCGAATATTCACTAAACTAATGCCCGCACACCGGGCGCGTATCCATGTAACACAGAAACGTCGGCGAGGGCATGGAAAAACTGTTAACAATAGAAATCGGTTCGATAATATATGGCTCGCGTGACGGTCTGTACTAGCTCTAAG